AAACAAGTGTCCGTACTGCCCCTTACTCAGATCTGCCTGAAAATACTAACCCGTGCGTACCTGCTGCGTGGGTTTGCTTTCTCTCTAGTGCACTGCTGTTCACCAAAGTCCTGGGAGGCCCCGGTCCCTCCCCGGGAGGGAGGCCTACACAAGCCCCACACGGGACTCTTGTCTGCATCCAAACTCAAATAATCATAAGAAATCACTTTAAAAAGCCATAAGTCAGAACATGCTCCAGAATGCTGTTTGAGGTGTTTTTCTTCTTTTTTTGCCAGAGCGCATTTCCCCGATTTATTTCTGAAAACCTCTCGCCCACCGCTCACCACATTTTCCACCGCGGTGTGTGGAACCTTGGAGGCCAGGTTGGTGGTGGTGTGGCGTGCGTCCTAGTCCAGGGCTTGGCGGCTCCCCCGCTTGACTCAAGGACAGAGTTTCCCAGTGATAGGTTTCGTTTTTCTTTCTTTCTCTAAAATACAGAGCAAATTGGAGGTGGGCCTTTGCTGACCACACCTGTGCTCATCTGCATTCTGGTTGATTTTTTAAATGGAAGAGAAAGGGCGGAAGCAGCCCTGGTGCCCAGGGATTTACAGTAACTGAAAGGACTGTGTCCGTGACGCGGATGTCATTTGTCACCAGTGACAAGACTGAAAAGAAGAAGGTGGGCGTGGCTGGGCTGTGTGATGTGCCTTGTGGAGCAGCTTCAGTCTTCCTGCTGGAACTTTTTCTTTTAATCAGGTAGCTCTCCATCGATGCTTCTGTGCACGGGTCTCTTTACCCAGGAGTGTCTAAGCTCAGAGCAGTACAGCGCGTAATTATACAACCAGTTCAGCGTGCGTCAGTGAGTTTCCACTGTCCTAGACGCATCACCTCCAGGAGCAGAGTCAGAATTAGTGTATGTTGCTCTGTGATTGTATTCCTGGGTAGCACGTGGTTCTGGCCACATTTGTCCTCATGTTACTCCTGCACCCCCTCAGTCCAGAGAGTGTCTCATATCATAGTGATTGGCAGTGTGGAGAGATCAGAAAATTAATTGTTTGTTCTTTGCCTCTAGTAGGATTAACATAGATAATAAATACAGTTTTTCTGGAATCCGTAGTTAATGAAGTTGAGGGGTGATGATCCAGAAGTTTTTTTTTCTCTAGTTGGCTGAACCAGGCTGGTTTTCACGGGGAGGAGTGATTTTAAGCTTCCCTGTGGCTCAGATGGTAAAGAATCCGCCTGCAATGAAGGAGACCTGGGTTCGATCCCTGGGTCAGGAAGATCCCCTGGAGAAGGGAAAGGCTTCCCACTCCAGTATTCTTGCTGGGAAAGTCCCCACGAACAGAGAAGCCTGGTGGGCTGCAGTCCATGGGATCACACAGAGTCAAACATGACTGAGCGACTAATGCTTTCACTTTCAGAAGTAAATAAATACATGGCAGCTGTGGACTCAGGTCCTGCTTCTGGCCCCTTCTCCCTGGGATGCAGGTTGCGGGATGCGGGATGTGGGACACGGGATGCGGGTTGCAGGAACGAGCGACAGGACCAAGAGTGGTTCTGGATGCTCACCCGACTGCAGCGAGGCTGCTTGCCCAGCGCACCTGAACCCTGTATCCCAGGCACATCCCCTGAGCGGTCCCTGCACCTTCCTCCCGCCGGTCCCCTCCTGAGAATCCTGGGTCAGGATTCCTGCCAGAGCGCATGCAGGAGGATCGCCCTGTGAGCCAGGGGCGAACCTCGGGGGTCTCAGCAGCAGGTGACGCGGGCGGCCTGGACTGACGTTCCGGGGGCCATGCAGAGGCTCCCTGCCCTGACCGGAGGTGTTCCGGGGGCCGCTGTTGTCTGGCCCAGCGGGAGACAACTAGCGCCCACGTGGTGCCGCTGTGTCAGTCCAGGACACATCCACACGCTTGGATGCATCTGCGTTTGAAGCCCATCTCTGAGCTGATGCCTGCCCTCTCTCTGTCCTCAGCCTGCCCACATCCACCCCACGCGCTGTGAGCTCACCCCGCTCGCTGTGATGGCACGTGTGTGGTGTGCGCGCGCATCCTCGTGGCTCCCCTGGCCGCGTGCAGGACCACGCCCCTGCCCCTGCCTTTCCTTGGAAGCCTGGGGCTGCCCAGCCGTCGGCTCAGCGTCTTGGGGAGCCTTGTTCCTCACTCTCCCTACCTGGGGCCGTGTCCCTGGGTTGCTGACGGCCCGCGCTTGTGCCCTTCGAAGAGCGCCTTCTCCCTTCGCTGGGGACCACAGCTGAGCATCCTTCGGAATGCAGGTGTCTGCAGACGGCAGTGCACCTGTGAAAGGTACTCGCTTCCCTGCCAGGAGAACAGCTGTCCTGTGAGTCCCATTCCGGCGGGGACCGCCTTCCTCATCCGCCCGCGGGCCTCCCGGAGGCGCCGCCGCTCAAGAGCAGAATTGGGAAGAAGGCTGAAAGGTCACCGGGAATAAATACACAGTTCACTCTGGCCCCTGAGCGCTCTGCTCTCAGAAGGCTGACGCTTAGAAACTGAAGTTCTGACAGCTCTCTGGTTTGTGCTTCAAGGAAGTGACACGTTCAGCTTGATTAGGGCTGATGGCGCTCTAATGGCAGGAGTTGGTTCATAGCCATAAAACACCCTTAAAAACAGCAGAAATGTCCATGGCCCTGTGAATCTGCAGATGGTAAAGGAGAGTAAGTTTTTCAGCAAGTGTTAACCCTCAGTGAATGCGTGTTTTAGAGTTTGAGGGGTCAGAGAACTTACTTGCTTAGCTGTTTTCAAGGTAATGGGGTTGAGTGTTAACACGAGACGATTTAGCCACATTTAGCTAATCATTAGTATAAAAATAAACTCTGAATGGAACTCTTTCTGGAAGTGTGACGCGCAGGGTCATGACTGCCTCTGCGGTGGCCACAGGACTCTTCCCATGGTCAGGGCCAGAGTGGCGAAATGCAGGCTCATTTATGGGGAGACTCGGCTCAGGTGGTGGTTCTGCTCGTCACTCAGTCGTGTTCCACTCTTCGCGACCCCTAGACTGCAGTACGCCACGCTCCCCTGTCCCTCACCATCTTCTGGAGTTGGCCCAGGTTCATGTTCATTGAGTTGGTGCTGCCATCCAGCCGTCTCATTCTCTGCTGCCCCCTTCTCTTGCCCTCAATATTTCCCAGCACCAGGGCCTTTTCTAGCGTGTCAGCTCTTCACATCAGGTGGCCAAAGACTGTAGCTTCAGCATCAGTCCGTCCAATGAATATTCAGGGTTGATTTCCATTAGGATGGACTGGTTTGATCTCCCTGCAGTCCAAGGGACTCTCGAGAGTCTTCTCCAGCACCACAGTTCATAAGCATCAATTCTTCAGTAGTTCAGGTAGATTTTGACAACTGCCTGTCTAATTAAGGGATGCAAACCTTCAAGTTCTCAGTTGAAAACTTGAAATAGATGGAGCCACGCCTTTCCTTTGGAGGAACTCTGGGGCCCTGTTCTCCATTACACTTCATGTTCCGAGTAGTTTACCTATTAGGTTTCTTAAAAGACATAAGCCTTTTTTAATATAATAAGATAAAGTGGCATTTTCTCAAAATACCACATTGTTGGGAACTTTAAGTCATGAAAAGTGACAGTGTTTACGTTGTGGGTAGACAGCAGCGTCTATGCTGGCTCTGGTTTGGGCATCGCCTGGCTACGGAGCAGGTGCCCGCTCTCGGCCGTGGGACACCCTGGACATTTCCGTCTCGCTGGGATTAGCCCTCAGAGCTCAAGATGAACAAAAAACAGTAGATGTACGAAGAAGTAAATCCGGGAGTGTGGTGAGAACCGATCATTAGAATTCTAAGTGATTTTAGAGTAATATGCAGAGATGCTGGTTAAGTAACTTACAGCCTCGCGGGACGACACCGTTCTGTTTATGATGGTGCGTGACCAGCCGGGTGCTCGTGTGACCCGGGGAGGGGTACTCAGCCTGGCGTTTTTGTTTAAGAGCCGAAAAGAGGCGGTGTGCTGCGACATGTCAGTCTTCCTGGTTGCTGTGTCCCCTGGAGAAGGAGCCAGCAGAAGTGAGCCGAGGGAATTTGGAAAAAGTTGAGGAAGTTTAGTCTCTCAGCCCAGAAGGGCGGACTCAGTCAGCGGAGCTGGTGGGCATCCTGCCAGGTCACCGTCAGGGGGTCATCGGCAGAGGGAGGGAGTGTGTAACGGGAGAGTTTGAAATCTAGGGTCATTTTGGGAACAGGGAATATTCATTGGAAGGACTGATGCTGAAGCTGAAACGCCAATCGTTTGGCCACCTGATGCGAAGAGCTGACTCACTGGAAAATACCCTGATGCTGGGAGGGATTGAGGGCAGGAGGAGAAGGGGACGACAGAGGATGCGACGGCTGGATGGCATCACCGACTCAGTGGACGTGAGTTTGAGTAAGCTACGGGAGTTGGTGATGGACAGGGAGGCCTGGTGTGCTGCGGTCCATGGGGTCACAAAGGGTCGGACACGACTGAGGGACTGAACTGAACTGGACGAGGAACAGGCAGACGATCCATGAGCAGGGCTTCCTTGAGGGCAGACGTGTGGACTTGTTAGTTCTCCCCCGGTCTTACTGTGACACATTCGCGCCATGTGTGTGGTTGACAGCACGCTGTGCCACCTGGCGAGGTTTTCATTGTCCACAGCGCCGTGAGGAAGGCAGTGGGTCCGGCCCCCTCTGTCGCCAGGAAGGTCTGGGCCCCGGCGGTGAGGGGGCCCTGGCCAGGTCACACGGCCTCTCTCCCCGCCAAGGGGAGAATCCTGGCTGGTTTTCTTGCATTGAAAATAGGACCCTCACTTGATGGATCTCACCAGCACACTGTGAATCCATCAGCCCAGCTTCCAGGGAGACTGAGGGGGAGTTTTACCCATCAAGCTTGTCTCTAGGAAAACAGAGTGAGTAAAAGTTTGCTTCCCAAAGTGTATCGCTTCCTGAAAAGTGACCAAAGACGGGGAAGAGGGGACCTCGCCTCCCCACCCAGGGTGACGGTGCGCACAGTAAGCCCACTGATGCGTCTGCTTCCTCTTGCAGAGTGAAGAGCTGTCCGGCTTCACCCCCGTGACGACATGCATCACAGAAAACCATGGGAAGAAGATGCTCAGCATTTTTTTTTTAAAACACACCGGAAGAAGCTGCTTGCCACTTCCTTTTGGATCTGAGCGACTGCCGCGTGTGGACGCACCTGTGACCGCATAGTCAGACGCAGATGCGCCCGTCTCCCCTGGCCTCCGGGGCAGGGGGGCGGTGCAGTCCTCTTCCTCGCGCGGTTTGTGTGTTGGTTTTCGACAACATGAGCGGAAGGAGTGACTCACGAGAAGGTCGGACAGTCTTGGTCGTGGCCAGTGTCTTTCTCCCCGCCCTCGTTTTGACGCAGCAGATGTATCCCGCAGCATGCTAGGAGATTCTCCCAGCTCGCGTTCAAGTGGTAAAATCTGGTGTTTACGGACATCCGCTCAAAACTACCACCGTCCTACCTCAGTTCCAGGTGAAGCCGGGTCGGCGTGGTGGGGGGGGTCCCCCTCTGCTGGCTGAGTCTCCAGCGCGGTCATCTGCCTTATCCCCCAGCCCCGGACACAGCTGCTCATCCAAGTCCAGCCCAGGGACCTATGTGTTTACTCCCGCACAGAGCTCCCGCGTGGGACTGACATCTCTCCACGGAGATGCAACTCGAGATTGGACTCTGAAGATGGATGGATAAATAATAATTATTATATGTAACGAAAGCAAGCTACTTTTGCAAATCATCAACTGTACGGGGTGGGGGAGGGTGGGAGGGGCGGGGTCTAGGAAGGCCTGGGTTGGGGGTGGGCTGAGTATCTCTTTTTACCTTTAAGAGACTTGTTCAAGCTTCTCTCTGTAGATGTTTGTGTAGGCACTTCAGATTGCAGACGCCTTTGATCCTATTGACAAGCTCAAATGTCTCTGCCGTCCTTAACCTTGAGCTTGCATTTCTCTTAACCAAAAATTCACGTAGGCATGTGAGCCGTTCCAAGACAGGGGTCAAGGGTTGGGCAGGTCTCTTCGAAAATGTATTATCTTGACGACGACGCGCTCGTGTCGGGCCACGAGGCTGCCCCAAACAGCGACAACAAAGACGCAGAGAGACAGGAAAACAAAGGAAAAGGACCTGATAAAGAAGGCATCCTGGGACACAGGGGAAGCAAACCAGTCTCACAGTGCACGTCACTTGTCAGAGAGACTCGCGACGAGCAGACCCCTCTTCGTGTGTTCTCAGTGTTCTGGAAATATCAGTGTTGTGGCGATCACCGAGGGTGTCCCTAGAAGCCGCCGCCCTTGACCTGCAGAGTGTCAGCTCAGCTCTGCGCTCCCTTGACACGCGGGCGAGGGGGGCTGTAGGCGCCCTTATTCCCACGGGCCCATCCTCAGTGCCTCTCTGAGAGTCCTATAGACGTTACGCAAATTCCTTGGAGATACGAGTTGGGTTTTTTTTTTGGGGGGGGGTGGGGTGGTAGGGGGAGAAAAAAATATATATAAATATATAGATATATATCAGTATAGAATAATGCATTCATAAAATGAGGCTTTTCTAGAGGAAGACCAAAAAGATTTGATGTCTTAAACCTATATTTAATCGCAATGCAAGCGTCTTTCTCCTTCCACGCTGACCTTTCAGAACAGAGGATTGTATCGCAAGACAAAGTTGAATGTAAAGTGACCTCCCTGAGAGCTTCTCAGGTTTCGCTTCTGGAATCACGCAGCACAGCCGTGCACAGACCACCTGAGGTTGGTGTGAAGGTCATGTTCAGCGTGTAGTGTAGAGAGACTTTATGAAAAAGATGTATGAAGTGTCCTAAAGGTTTGGTCTAGCTCTGGGGCGCGGGATGGATGGAGTTGCTATGGAAACCGCCCCTCCCGCAGGACTGGACATGGACCCTGCTGGATGCAGCGTCAGACTCCCCTTCCCTCACGTGGGCCTGCCACCCTTCCCGTGGTCATGTTCCTCCTGCCGCTTCAAACGACGACATAAAAAAGTTGACAGTATACTAAATTTTCTTCTATCTTGTACATTTCAAAAAAAAAAAAGGCATATGCAATATTTACATTTTTAATTTAGTTTACAGAATGGAACCAAAATGTATAAATGTTATGTTTGTTAAAACTTCACAATGTATATTGGGTCTTTGTACATTTTGCCTGACTTACCTTAAAGTTAAAATATTTTTTGCTATATAAACTTTAACAGTTATTAAACAGTGTTTTCTTTTGGGGGGATACGTATTGTTTCTGGAGATCAAGATGTTAAATATATCTCTTGCTGTCGTGATATGACGAAAGACTGACTTCTCCTGCTGTCTTCCACTGTCTCCGCTGTACAGAAGGACCGACATGACACTGCTGGGAACCAGACTCCACGGAACTAGACTAGTGCATTGTATTTAGTCTGTATTGATCATGGATGCTCTCCTTAATAGCCATATGCAATACAATAAAATACATTATTTATGAAATGAAGACCGCCTGCACGATGCTTTTTCCTGTGTGGATAATGAATTTGACATAAAGCCATTCTTCTGGTGTTCGGAGTCATTAAGTAAATATTTGGCTCTTTAAAAACGTTTTGTTACATCTTCATTTAATAGCTGTATTCTGGAAACCAGAAAACAACCCCCCGCCCCGCCCACGCCACAAGGTGTATGAAAAGGTGACGTACTAAGAAAACAAAAACACTCACTTTACCAAGCGTAGAATCATTGCAGGCATACTGGATGCTGTTTTGTTAGTTTGTTTATTGCCTTGATTTTTTTTGTTATTTTATTTATTTTCTTGGCCGTGCAGCATAAGGAATCTTAGTTTCCCCATCAGAGATCGAACCCCGGCTTCCTGCAGTGGAAGCTGAGTCCCAACCCCTGGACCACCAGGGGAATCCTGGATGCTGTTTTAAATGCTGTGCAAACATTAATTCCCTCATGGTTCCTAATAAACTTCGATGGTGGGAATCACTGTCCCGTTTTACAGATGAGCAGACTGAGGCACAAAACGGATAAAGGACTTCCTGGGGTGGGGGCAGAGCTCAGGAGGGGTGGAACCAGGACTCGAGTGCAGAAGCACACCCCCCGAGTCCGTGCCCGAGTGCCTGCTGCGGCCTGACTCCTGAGATGCAGGTGCCAGACAGACAGCATCCAGGGCGTGGGGTGGTCACGGCACCAGAGCCAGGAGGTGCAGAAAATAGGAAATGGACCTCTAGTGATTTTTATCAAGGACAACTTGACCTCCTTGTTAGAAACCACTTTTTTATACATCCACTTTACTGGCATTGTATCAATTGAAATGCAATAACATCAGTGCCATCTCTTTTGAACGAATAAAATCAGAGCAGTGTGGAAGGTGATTTTTGAATGCTGGCTTTTAAATCTCAAGCCTGGTAAGCCCTGTGTGGCATCTGGGAGCTTGGTGATGACCTGCGGCCTGTTGGTGCCCAGACTGGTTGTTCTTGGGGTTTCCATTAGACACCTAGGAGGAGGCATGATCTACAGGTTTTGATGCCCCTGAAATCTGTTACATTAGTGATGGGAGGGCTGTCATTCTAGGGGAGGGGAGACATATAAGGCAAGAATCAGTGTCTTTACCCAGAAATGTTGACTGTAAGTAAAGGAGTGAGGGGCTTTTATCAAAGTCCTGTGGAAGCTGGAAGTATTCACCAGAAACCAATTTCTGAACTTGGAGGAGAAGACTAGATTAACAGGGCATCCCAAGATGTAGGCTAAAGACCCCCCACGTTGACTGGAGAGAGCTTGATTCTGAGCCATTCGTGGGCAGCGTGGATGATGCGGATGGGCACCCTCAAGGATGACAGCACCTGTGAGCTCACTGGCAGGATCATAGCTGGTCCGTCTCAAAGCCCTGAGTCCCATGTTAAAGGTCACTTGGCAAGTTTGCAGGCTGCTTGGGCAGGCCCGTCACTGCTGTGTATGTCTAGCCCTGAGCTATGCCAGTGTCTGACTCCCTCATCCATTCCACCCTTCAGGGCCACCAGGTGAAAGACAAAGGGGGTCACAGTCTGTTCAGACCTCGACGGCGCTGGGTCCATCACCCCTCGTTTCAGCAGTGCATGTGATCAGTCAGCACCATCCCAGATCGCCAGGTTGTGTGTCTTGTCCATGGCTGGATGGCATCAGTGGCTCAGTGTACTTTCCTCGTCTGTGGGTATAATTGTCGTCATCACATTGCTGTGATCTTGTTACGGTGACCTTCAGCGTAGTGAGGCCCATGCTGTCCAAACAAAGCCAAACACAAGACTCATGACCCTTATCTTCTCAGGGTATGAGCACTTCCGGGCATGCTGGGGAGTGGAGGTTGGCACCTCCATTAAAATAACTGAGGATAAGCTTGTAATCAAGTTGCCGGTGACCGTGTCTTCCACCTGCCGCCTCCCTCTACCGTCGGGTGAAGCCAGAGGACACCCTGAAACCACGCCTGCGGCGACTTTATGAGAGTAGAGATTTGCTTGCTAAGTGTCGTGTTGGGTGAGCGGAAACCGTTTTTCCCCCTTAAAAATCGAGAGAGGCCAGGTTGTTGTTAATTTACGAGGGCATCACACAGCAAAATCCCAGGAAAAGCCCTATCTTTACAAAGTTCTTTTATGGATGTGGTCGCAGTCCTCTCAGACTCCTTGCAAGGAAGGGAGGAGCCCTGGGCTGGGACCCAGCCTGGCGCTGCCTCAGGGACCACGTGCTCCCTTCCCGTGCAGGAGTCCTGCCCTGGCAGAGCCCAGGAGACGCCGCCTGGCCGTTCCCCGCGTCCCCTTCCATTGGGGAGCTGAGCCCTGGTGGGGTTTACCCCGAGCCCCACGGCCAGCCTGGGCTCCTCTGTCCTCCATTCCGAGGGAGGGGGGAGCAGGGACCCCCACCCCAGGCCCACGGCCTTCCCACCACCCTCTGAGCATCCCCCGAAGAGGCCCAGCAGCCTCCAGCTTCGCAGGATCTGCAGGAGATGGCAGCTCCTCCCCGGCAGCTGAGGTTTTGCTCCCTGCTCTCACGGCAGACCCGAGTCCTTCCTCCCGTCCAGTCTGTTTTTT